CCATCACTGAATTATATGTCTAGCCTCTGACTATATTTTGACAGCACAGTTAAAATTAAAAAAAAAATAATGTGACATATTTTAGGCCTAAATTTACACCTAAATATCATTTTGTAGTGGGGTAAAGATTTTCAATTTAAAATGTTTTTTAAGAAGTGGAAGTTTTAAAAATTAAAGCACCAGGAAAAGCAAAGCACCAGAAAGCTGAAATAGTATGCATCTTTATTTTTTATTTAAATTTATTTATTTTTAAGACAGTCTTTTCTCATTTTACATACCAATCCCAGTTTCCACTCCCTCCCCTCCTCCTGCTCCTTCCACCTTTCCCTCAGCCCTAGCCCCCATCCATTCCTCAGAGTGAGGCTTCCCATAGGGAGTCAGCAAAGTCTGTCACTTCATTTTGAGACAGGACCAAGGCTCTCCCCCACTATATCTAGGCTGAGCAAGGTGTCCCTCCAAAGAGAATGGGTTCCAAAAAGCCCGTTCAAGCACTAGGGATAAATCCTGGTCCCACTGCCAATGACGCACAGACTGCCCCAGCTGCACAACTGTCACCCACATTCAGAGGGCCTAGATTAGTCCTATAAAAGTTCCCCCTCTGTCAATACAGAGTTGACGAGCTCCCATTAGCTCAGGTCAGCTGTCTCTGTGGGTGTCCCCATCATGATCTTGACTCCTTTGCTCATATTCTCACTCCTCCCTCTCTTCCACTGAATTTTGGGAGCTCAGCCCAGTGCTTCACTGTGGATCTCTGCATCTGCTTCAGCAGTTGCTGGATGAAGGTTCTATGGTGACAATTAAAATAGTCATCAATCTGATTACAGGGTGAGGCCAGTTCAGGCACCCTCTCCTCTGTTGCTTAGGGTCTTTATGGATTACTGGTAATTTCCCTAGTGCCATGTTCCTCACTAGCCCCATAACGGCTTCCTTGCTCTCCCTCCCTGTCCTTCCCCCTTCTTGAGCATCACATTCCCTCATGATCTCCTTCCCCCCGCCCCTTCTCCCCTCCTCTTCCCTTTCCACCGCCACCACGCTCTCAATTTTCTCAGGAGATCTTGTCTATTTCCCCAGGGGATCCATTTATGTTTCTCTTAGGATTCTCCTTGTTACCTAGCTTCTCTGGGGTTGTGGACTATAGGCTAGTTTTTTTGTTTCTTTACATCTAATATCCACGTATGAGTGAGTACATACTGTGTTTTTTTTTCTGGGTCTGGGTTACCTCACTCAGGATGGTTTTTTCTAGTTCCATTCATTTGCAAGCAAATTTCAAGATGTCTTTTTTTTTTTACTGCTGTGTAGTACTCCGTTGTGTAAATGTACCACATTTACTTTTTCCATTCTTCAGTTGAAGGGCATCTAGGTTATTTCTAGGATCTGGCTATTACAAATAATGCTGCTATGCAGGGGCTGGAGAGATGGCTCAGACGTTAAGAGCACTGGCTGCTCTTCCAAAGGTCTTGAGTTCAATTCCCAGCAACCACATGGTGGCTCACAACCATCTGTAATGAGGTCTGGTGCCCTCTTCTGGCCTTCAGGCATATACAAATAATGCTGCTATGAACACAGTTGAGCAAATGTCCTTGTAGTATGATATCTTTGGGGTATATGTCCAAGAGTGGTATTGCTGGATCCTGAAGTAGGTTGATTCCCAATTTTCTGAGAAACCGCCATACTAATTTCCAAAGTGGCTGTACAAGTTTGCACTCCAACCAGCAATGGAGGCGTGTTCCCCTTGCTCCATATCCTCTCCAGCATAAGCTATCATTGGTGGTTTTGATGTTAGCCATTCTTACTGGTAAAAGATGCTATCTCAGAGTTGTTTTGATTTGCATTTCTATGATGACTTAAGATGTTGAACATTTCCTTAAGTGTCTTTTGACCATTTGAGATTCTTCTGTTGAAAATCCACTGTTTAGATCTATTCCCCATTTTATAATTGGATTATTTGGTATTTTGATGTCAAGTTTATTGAGTTCTTTATATATTTTAGAGATCACTCCTCTGTCTGATGTGGGGTTGGTGAAGATCTTTTCCCATTCAGTAGACTGCCATTTTGTCTTATTGACGATGTCCTTTGCCTTTTTTTAAATAAATTTTTTAAAAGATTTACTTATTTATTATGTATACAACATTCTGCCTCCCTGTATGCCCACACGCCAGTGGAGGACGCCAGATCTCATTACAGATGTTTGTGAGCCACCATGTGGTTGCTGGAATTGAACTCAGAACCTCTGGAAGAGCAGTCAGTACTCTTAACCACTGAGCCATCTCTCCAGCCTATCCTTTGCCTTATAGAAGCTTCTCGGTTTCAGGAGGTCCCATTTATTTATTGTTTCTCTCAGTGTCTATGCTGCTGGTGTTATATTTAGGAAGTGGTCTCCTGTGTCAATGTGGCTGGATTTATATTGAGGTCTTTTATCCATTGGGACTTGAGTTTTGTTCATGGGGATAGATATAGATCTATTTGCATTCTTCTACAAGTTGACATCCAGTTATGCCAGCGCCATTGGTTGAAGATGCTTTCTTTTCCCATTGTACAATTTTGGCTTCTTTGTCAACAATCAGTTGTTCATAGGTGTGTAGATTAATATCAGGGTCTTCGATTTGATTCTGTTGGTCCACCTGTCTGTTTTTATGCCAGTACCAAGTTTAGCTCTATAATAGAGCTTGGAGTAAGGGATGATGATGCTTCCAGATGTTCCTTTCTTGTACAGGAATGTTTGGGCAATTCCTCTTTTTTTTGTTTTTGTTTTTCCATATAAAGTTGAGTATTGTTCTTTTGAGGTCTGTGAAAAATTGTGCGGGGGGTTGGAGAAATGGCTTAGCGGTTAAGAGCACTGGCTGCTCTTCCAGAGGTCTTGTGTTCAATTCCCAGCATCCACATGGTGGCTCACAGCCATCTATAATGAGATCTGGTGCCTTCTTCTGGAATGCATGGAGGCAGAAGTTGTATACATAATAAACAAATAAATCTTTTTTTTTTAAAAGAATTGTGCTGGGATTTTGATGGGGATTGCATTGAATCTATAGATTGCTTTTGGTAAGATTGCCATTTTTATGATGTTGATCCTACCTATCCAAGAGCACGGGAGATCTTTCCATTTTCTGATATCTTCTTCAGTTTCTTTCTTCAAAGACTTAAAGTTCTTTGTACAAGTCTTTCACTTCTTTGGTTAGTGTTACTCCAAGATATTTTATGTTATTTGTGGCTATTATAAAGTGTGATATTTCTCTGATTTCTTTCTCAGCCCCTTTATCAATTGTATATAGGAGGGCTACTGATTCTTTTGAGTTGATTTTGTAACCTGCCACATTACTGAAGGTGTTTATCAGCCCTAGGAGTTCCCTCATAGAATTTTTGGGGTCACTTATGTATACTATCATATCATCTGCAAATAGTGAGAGTTTGACTTCCTCTTTTCCAATTTGTATCCCTTGATCTCCTTTTGTTGCCTTATTGCAATAGCTAGAACCGTGAGTACCATATTGAATAGATATAATGAATAAAAGAGTGAACAGCCTGGTCTTGTTCCTAATTTCAGAGAAGTCACTTTGAGTTTTTCTCCATTTAACTTGATGTTGGCTGTCGGCTTGCTGTATTTGCTTTTTATTATGTTTATATACGTTCCTTGTATCCCTGATATCTACAAGACCTTTATCATGAAGGGTGTTGGATTTTGTCAAAGGCCTTTAAACATCTAATGAGATGACCATGTGGTTTTTTTTCTTTCAGTTTATGTGGTGGATTACGTTGATGGATTTTTGTATGTTGAACCATCCCTGCATCTCTGGGATGATGCCTACATGATCATAGTGGATGTTTTTTCTGATGTGTCTTGGATTCAGTTTGCCAGTGTGTTATGAGTATTTTTGCACAATGTTCATGAAGGAGACTGGTCTGTAATTCTCTTTCTTAATCACATCTTTGTGTGGTTTGGGTATCAGTGTAACTGTAGCCTCGTAAAAAGAATTTGGTAATGTTCCTTTTGTTTCTATTGTGTGGAACAATTTGAGAAGTATTGAGGAGTTTTTCTTTGAAATTCTGGTAGAATTCTGTGCTGAAGTCATCTGGTTCTGGGCTTTTTTTTTTTTTTTTTTTTTTTTTTTTTTTTTTTGGTTGGGAGGCCTTTTACATTCTAAACACACATTTTAATACTGAGCTGCATTCCAGCTGAAATAGTATGTTCTGATTAGGATAGATGCAGAGGATATAAGCTTTACTTTCTTAGCAATATTTTTGCAGCAGACTCTTGCTCTGTAGCCCTGGCTGGACTTGAATTCCTAGTAATCTTCCTGCCTCAGCTTCCCAAATGCTGGGATTGCAAGTGTCTACTCTCATGTCTGACTTACATAGCTACTCTGTTAGAATAATTGTTTTTAAAAATATATTCTTTACCATTGCACTCCATACTATTTTGTGGTCACACAGATTCCAAATAAGCTGAAAGACTGTTGATAGTAGCAATGATGATATGTCACCTGGGTTAACTCACAGGCAGACCCAAACCATAGTCACACAGGCTTTCTTTTAGCTTTGCATGCCCAGGCATGAAATTTGATAGCAGAAAGAGCAGATCCATTTCTTGGGAGGTAGATATATATTAATCAAGGTTATAAACTTTATATTAATTAAAATTGCCAAGTTCACCTCTCTGTAACAGCAGTATTGTTATCACACTTAGAAAATGAAAAAAAGAGAAGTCCTTGAGGTTATAGGCTTTGTGTATATGTGTGAATATCCCCAGTTGCCTAAAAAAGTTTACAACTGAAATGGTTGGAACAAGATCCAAGCACTTGCTGATTGTGTCCTTGAACTTTGGTTTCCTTCCCCCTTTCCTTCCTCATTCCTTTTATTTATTGGTTTCTAATTTATTGCAAAGTCAATGAAATTGGAAACTTAAGCTTTAGCATTAACAACTGTGTCTGGTATCCCATAGGCACTTACATGTTTTTGGTGAATATCTTAACAATACTCAAGGTCTTGTGCTTTGTCCCTGCAGGTTGATCCAAAAGATTATATTTTCAGTGGACTGAAGGATGAAACAGTAGGTCGCTTACCTGGAAAAGTGGCAGGACAACAATTTGTCATTCAAGACTGTGAAAACTGTAACATCTATATTTTTGATCACTCAGCTACCATTACCATTGATGACTGCACCAACTGCATACTTTTCTTGGGACCAGTGAAAGGCAGTGTATTTTTCCGAAATTGTAGAGATTGCAAGTGTACATTAGCTTGCCAACAATTTCGTGTGAGGGACTGTAGAAAGTTGGAAGTCTTTCTGTGCTGTGCCACTCAACCCATTATTGAATCTTCCACAAATATCAAGTTTGGATGTTTTCAGTGGTACTACCCTGAATTAGCAGCCCAATTTAAAGATGCAGGGCTCAGTATCTTCAATAATATATGGAGTCATGTTCATGATTTTACACCTGTGTCAGGAGAACTCAACTGGAGCCTTCTTCCAGAAAATGCTGTGGTTCAAGACTATGTTCCTATTCCAACTACTGAAGAATTCAAAGCTGTACGAATTTCTACAGAAGCCAATAGAAGCATTGTTCCCATATCCCGGGGTCAGAGACGGAAGGACAGCGATGAGTCATGCCTAGTGGTATTATTTGCTGATGATTATACAACTGCAAATGCCAGAAAATTAATTGATGAGGTAAGGAGAGAGAGAGAGAGAGAGAGAGAGAGAGAGAGAGAGAGAGAGAAGAGAAATAGACATAGATAGGACTTGCTAGGTTTTATTTATTGTTATTATTTGTAGTAGGAGGGAGGCCGCTTATTTGTTCCTGGCCACATAGCCCCAAAATAATCACACAGAAACTATATTATTTAAATCACTGTTTGACCCATTAGCTCTAGCTTCTTATTGGCTAACTCTTACATATTAATTTAACCCATTTCTATTAATCTGTATGTCACCACATGGCTGTGGCTTACTGGGTAAAGTTCCAGTGTCTGTCTCTGGCAGCTACATGGCTTTTCTCTACTCTGCCTTCCTTCTCCCAGCATTCTGTTTAGCTTTCCCTGCCTACTTAAGTTCTGCCCTATCAACAGGCCAAGGCAATTTCTTTATTCACCAGTGGTATTCACAGCATACAGAGTGAAATCCTGCATCAATTATTTACAAATTAATTATTAGAAATACTAGCAACCCTCAAGTTATAGTCCTCGAATTCCTTGGATCCACAAAGTTTACCTTAGAAGCAGATCTCTTGGTCTACAAAATCCTTTCTCTCTCTCTCTCTCTCTCTCTCTCTCTCTCTCTCTCTTGTTTGTTTTTTGAGACAGGGTTTCTCTGTGGCTTTGGAGCCTGTCCTGGAACTAGCTCTCTAGACCAGGCTGGTCTCGAACTCACAGAGATCCACCTGCCTCTGCCTCCCGAGTGCTGGGATTAAAGGCGTGCGCCACCATCACCCGGCCAAAATCCTTTCTCAATGCAACCTTTAAATCTAATTTAATTTAGTAAGCATTTGTTAGCATCAGTTATATGCAGGTTATGCTATTATCATATTTCATTCATTATATGATACAAGTTTGTTTTCCACATCTTTGCTTAAATACCTTGTAATTAGTTGCAACTTAGAAATAATAGAACCTAGGTGATACTGGAAATTAAGGCATACAGATACATTTCTTTGCCTCAAAGATTTTCCATTCTTCATCATAAACAGTTTCCACACATGCTCACAACAGTACTGCGTATTGAAGCATAGTCTTTGCTAATGATTTTTCTAATGAGGAAATTTTTTTTGGAGTTTTAATTGGTTTAGAGGTTGGAAATGATGTTTAAGAATACAACTTTTAGACCCTGTTTTGACAGTGTCATCCACACTGGGCTCCTTATTTTCTCTTGTCCCGTCACCATTGAGGGAGAGGTTTCTTTTGTCTGTGAGTTTTTACTACATATAATTTTCAAAGATTAATCATTCAAGTTAAACTCCATTTTGTTAGATAATTAGGATATTCTAACTTGTTTAAAGAAAAAAAGCCATCAACACAGTCTATTTGTGAGTCATCAATGCTCTGAACCTTTTGACTTTTGGTATCTGATGTGTGAAATGGCCTTTGCAAGAATATGACTTAGAAGAGTGATGTTCTTTAAATGTCCTTCTGGAATGCAAAATAACAATCCTACACTAATAATAATAGTAACTTACTCTTACATACTTTTTACCAGTCGGGTACTTGTAAAGAGAGTTACATGAATTAACTCAGTGTTCAAAACAACTCTGTGACCTACAGACAGGGTAAATAACTTGGCAAAAGTCACTCAGCTAGCTGGTAAACATCAGAGCTGTGATTCATACATGCAGGCTGATACTCTTCCTGTATATTAACCCTTAAACATAAAGCTCTTGTGCTGTCCCAGTGCTGAAAGAAAGCTAATGCTAAGAAAAGGGAAAGACCTAAATGTTATGTTGACAGGTTATATACTATTTAAATTATACTTGAGTTAGCAAAGAAACTAGTTCTGAAAAAAATAAAAGTTAAGTATTTTCATAGCACAGCTATATTAGGACAGCTTAGACTGGGAGATGCAGTTACCAACTCTGATTTGCTGAGGAACATTATAAAATCACATTTTATATTGTTTTCACAAAGAAATTGTTTTCTTATATAGGAAGTAGACCACAACCTCGTGGTAATACACAGAACAATAGAAGTGGATTACTTTAAGATGTAAGAGCTAGCTAGAAACACACATAAGTTATTGACCAAACAGTATTGCAATTAACATAGTTTCTTTGTGATTATTTTGGGTCTGGGTGGCCAGAAAATGAACAAATAGCCTCCATCTACAAGCCACCATCCTGAAAAATAATTCTTTAATCCACCATCTCATTAACTTAAATTAAAATCAAAGCTCTGTTAATTTATAGACCTTGGGCAAGTTCTTAACCATGTCACATCTTAATTGTCTCATCCCTACAAGGAAGATGGTGGTGGTACCCATCTCATGAGAGGTTAAATGTATTTTGTATGTATATATGTATAATATTCAGAAAACTTCAAATGGTCCCCTATGTGTGGTCAATCATTCTTGCAATATACTATACAAATTGATGTGATGGCTTTTAAAATTAACATTACATGGTATTTTTCTGTTTTATTTTAACATCTTTATTATATTTAACAAATTATGTTAATTGTAGTGAACTATGGTAATTTTCATTGAACATTTTCTGTATCATCAAATTAAGCTTCTGGTTAGTAGTTGTAAAGTAGTGACAGCGGAGTCTGAATTACTCAGAACTAAAACAAAAATCAGAATGCTGGGTTGCATTATATATGGAAAAATGTTCAAATAACAAAACCTTGTTTTTATCCCAAAAGTTCATTTTCCAATCTGAATGAAGTTTTATTCTCCACCGATGGTTGGTAAAGGGTTTCTCCTAGTGCAGACAAAGGAAGTGTCAATGAAAGCTGAAGATGCTCAAAGGGTTTTCCGAGAAAAGGCATCTGACTTTTTTCTTCTTCTAAACAAAGGTATTTTCTGGGTGACTGGGGTACTTTTTTGGTTATTTTCTTTTTTGACTCTCTTAACATTTCTTTCATGTTGCCTTCTCTTTCTCTTTTGTTCGGTTTTCCCCAAAACCCAAGAAGCACTGTAGAACTCACTTTTCTCCTGTTCTTTCTCTTAGTACTTAAATGGTCACATTTCTGTATTATTTTAGTTGTCATTTTATTACTATTTTACCTTTGTACTGTTACATAATAAGGATATGCGTTGGCTCTACTGAAAAAGAAGAATTATAGTCACTAATTTTCTGTTTTCATATAATTAACTTTTTGTGAAAATTATAATTTTCCCTAGCAAGTGAATACCAGCAATAAGTTTCAGATAGTGAAGAAATGTGCGAAAGAGAGGAGCTAGAATCTGCCTGCCCCGCTGAAAAGATGATGCTTGCCTATATTTTCTTAAAGGCATATTGACTCTGGAGGCCAAAGTACTATCTTTCTGTTGGGAGTAGGGACATTGTTTGCTTAAGGCTCCAAGCCAGTATGAATAGCAATATGGAATGCTAATTGGGTATACTCTACAGACAGGGCACATCTGTATGTGTGTTCTTTATGTATAAATAAAATATAATGAACTCTAAAACTGTATGAAAAAAGCATAGAAGGACTATTACGATAATTTTAAGCAATAATGCTCTATGTAATTGGGCTGTTAAGTGTTAGCATAAAATTTCATATCTTTTTCTTAGTTATTGTGGTAGTGGCAATGACTTATTCAATCCAGTGCTTGAGTCTACCTCAGAATATATTTTGACATAGGAACATTCAAATAAAATCTTGGAAATGAACCTTAAAACTCTCATCAACTTCTAGGAATGGAATTAAGCAATAAGTCTAATGGATATCCTAAAGTGTAAGAGTTAGTATTGAATTCAGTAGCCTGAATTGGGTTTATATATTTGTATAATATTAGTAAAGAAGTCTTATAGAATTGCTTCAACCTAAACAGTACCTGTCTTTCAATAATACAACATTTCACATGGAAGTAGTAAAATGTTTTGTTTCTGGAAAAAGCAGAACTAAAACCAATGAGCAGATGTTACCAGAATTTCAGGAAATAATGTCATACAATCAAGTCTTAAAAAAACAAGAGATTCTGGGGCTAGAGAGATGGCTCACTGGTTAAGAACACTGACTGTTCTTCCAGAGGACCCAGGTTTGATTCCCAGAATCCACATGGTAGCTTACAGCTGTCTAATATTCCAGTTCCAGGGCACCTGACATCCCTTGGTAATACACCAATTCACATAAAATAAAAATAAGTAAAATAAAATAATTAATTAATTGAAAAAAACATGTCTACAGGAAGTACTTAAAGATTGAAGCACTCATGTCGGGTCAAAAGAATCAGCTTGAAGGAGTTTGCATTGGAAAAATTTGGGGGCAGTTTGACCATTGACTAATGGGGGTTGGGGTCAGAGTAGTAAGAGTGCTTGAATAGCATGAGGACCTGGGTTCCATTTCTATCACCAAATAAACCTTACAAAGAATAATGCAGGGGGGCCGGGCAGCAGTGATGCACGCCTTTAATTTCAGCACTCGTTAGGGAGAGGTAGGTGAATCTCAGTGAGTTCAAGGCCAGGCTGGTCTACAGAGCGAGTCCAAGACAAAGAAACCCTGTCTCAAAAAAAAAAAATAGTGCAGGTAATTTAATAACTGTTATGCACCTTTGGAAAAGTACTCCACACCTGTAATCCCTGTACTTGGGAGGTAGAGGCAAGAGGAGTTTAGGAGTTCAAGGACATTCTCAGCTATATAAGGAGTTCAGGACCATTTCAAAAAAAGAGGGAAGGGGCGATGGTGGCACACTCCTTTAATCCCAGGATTGGAAGGCAGAGGCAAGCCAATCTCAGTGAGTTTGAGGTCAGTCTGGTCCACAGAGCGAGTTCTAGGATAGCTAGGGCTACATAGAAAAACCCTGTCTCAAAAAAAGAAAAAAAAGGGGGCTGGAGAGATGGCTCAGTGGTTAAGAGCATTGCCTGCTCTTCCAAAGGTCATGAGTTCAATTCCCAGCAACCATGGTGGCTCACAACCATCTGTAATGAGGTCTGGTGCCCTCTTCTGGCCTGCAGGCACACACACAGACAGAATATTGTATACATAATAAATAAATAAATATTTTTAAAAAAAGAAAAGAAAAAGAAAGCAGGTGGATTTTATGATTATAGGCTGCGTCTCTTACCTTCTTTCTGCCTCCAACCTCTTCTGTCTTTGTTCCTTTCTTTTCTAAATCTAGGGAAAGGGAATCTTTCAATCTATTGCTAACTGAACCAAGATAGGAAAGAAAGTTACATGACACCACAAAGAAACAATGAACCAAGCCCAAAATACAAGACGTTCTATAAGATAACTAGCTTTCTTCAGGTGAGGGAACTCTTTTAGATTAAAATAATCTAAAGGGATATAACAATTAATGCAAAGAGAGAACCCTGATTTGATATGGGATTGATACAGTTTTTAAGCTAGGAGTTTGAAGGTGATAGGAGTTGTTTAATTTCCTTAGGTATGGAAATAGTATTGTGATTAGGTAGGAAATGCATTATGAGTATCATGGTGTCAGCAAAACAAGAATAAAGCATGTGTGTGCACTAATGTATAATATGTAGGGGCCAGCAAAATGACTCAGTGAGTAAAAGCACTTGCCACCAAGCTTGATGACCTTGAGTTCAGTCCCACGTGGAAGAAGGAGAGAACTTATACCCACAAGTTGTCCTCTGACTTCCATAAGTGTGTCCATGGCATGAGTGCCCACACCTCTACATCTATAAAAATAAGTAAATATACAAACAAATAATTGTTTAAAAAAAACCTATGGGGCTAAATTTTGACTCTTGGTGACTATAGTTAAAGGTAAGGTGGATATTTATGCTGTTCTTTCAGTATTTCTAGTGTGTGTGTGTGTGTGTGTGTGTGTGTGTGTTTTAATTGAACATTGGAGGAGTTGAGCAATGTCTCAGCAGTTCAGAGCACCCACTGGCTGCTCCTCCAGAGCACCCAGGTTCTCTGGTCTCAGTGGTGGCTGACAACTGGCTGTAATTCCAGTTCCTATGGATCCAATGCCCTCTTCTGGCCTCCAAAGGCACTGCATGCACATGGTCCACACACATATATGCAGGCAAAGCTCCCATAACACATAAAATAAAAGTGAAATAAAAACTTTAAAAAATTATATATCTTATTCTCAAAACCACCTAAAATGGATAAAAATAATTTAGTCTGCCCAATAGTGAGTTTATTAGGTCATGTGGAATAGCAAGCCGACTTGATGCTAATATTCTAACACGGTGGAATAAGGTAAGCAATAGTCATTCTCAGGTAGGTAATTGTCCTGAGTAGGGCTGCTGTGTGCATTATAGAATGTTGAACATCATTTCTGGCTCCTGCCCTCTTGATACACATTTCTTCAGTTGTGGCAACAACAACAAAAATGGTTTTAGACATTGCCTGATGTCCTTTGAAATAATTGTCAGTTGAAAACCATTTTTTTAAATAATAGGCTTACTCTTGGAAATTTACCTTTATTGTAATTCATAGCTGAATCTAAATAGTCTTTAATCACAATTATCTTCTTTAGTTAATAAATATTACTATTTGACTATTAATAAGAGAATCTATTGTTTTCTATCCTAGAACTTCCAAACCGTACTAATCCTCAAAACTATGTAGGATGTTTTTAAAAATATAAATTTCGAACTACTCTCTCAGAAGTCTTTATTATATGTCCTTGGAATCAACATTTTGGTAGCTTCTCAGATGGTCTTGGGCACTAATTAGACTTGTTTTTCTTTGTTTGAAAGGCCCATCTTCTTCAACAAAAACAGTAGATGAGCTATGAGCAGTAGTGGACAAAATGGTGCTCTGTAGGCCATGCCAGGTTTGGTAGTTTAGTCTGAATTTTCATGCTTTTTATTTTTAATAAATCTCTAGAATAATTTAAATTTACAGAAACTTTGCGAAGACAGTACCAAGAGCTTCTGTATATCTTCTTCCTGCTTCTCCAAATGTTAACGTAGCCAAGGCACATTTGTCAAAAGCAAGAAATTGACATTGGTAAAATGTTTCCTTGTACAGTCGATTCTCATTTCACCAGATGTTTGCCAGCAAGTTCCAGGTCCAAAATTCATTTCTAGATCCCACGTTGACTTTAATTGCTGTGACAGTTGTCAACCTACTTTTGTTTTTCATCACCTCCAGTTAGTCTGAAGAATGTTGTTGTGTTGGGGATCATCTGCTCTTTTCTCAGGTTAGAAAGGGTTATAGATTTTGTAGAAGAGGTGAAGTTGAAATGGCATCTGCTGTGTTTACCTTCCATCGTGGCAGGGTAGGGTTACATTTGTGTTACAGGGCAAAGGTAGAAGTCAGGGCCGAGAGGCTGGAGAAAGTGCAAGATGCTGGTTACATCTTGTAGGAGCTGATTCTCTTCTTCTACCATGTGGGTCCCACAGATCAAACGCAGGGTGTCAGGCTTTTATTCTCATTTTTCCATCAGTCTAGAAATTTATATTTTGTTTGGTAACTTTTTTAATTTTTTCAGATTTATTTATATATAATTGCCAGATACTACATTTTAAAGTATATAATCTAGTGACCTGACCTATCCATATATTATAAATGATTACAACAAACAGTTATGTCTTCAAATTTTTTGTTTAAAATCTATTATTATTATATGTATGTTTGTGGGTGCATGTTCTGTGGCACAGCTATGGAGGTTAGGGACAACTCTGTTAAGTTACTTCTCTGGATTCTAAGGGTTGAACTCAGTTTTCCGTGGTGTGCAGCAAACTTTACCCTCTGAGTCATCTCAATGGCCCATAATTGGTTTTTTGTGATAAAAGCATTTAAAGTCTCAGCAATTTTCCAGTATACAATATGGTATTACTAACTATAGCCATCATACTATATATTAAATCCTAAGAACTTACTTATCTTAAATGTGTGTTGGGGGGTTGTGTTGTAGATTAAAC